CTTCAAAGGCAGAAGGGAAAACGAGACAAGATTTGTAGTGCTTCCCTGCTGGGTTACCTGATTATTATATTTAGTTGCCACAAGCAACTGGAAAAGTAGCTGCACATGTGCCCATGGGAACATTTAAACAGGCCATAGCATGCAAAACTTTTGCTGAAATGTCAGCTACCAGTGCAGCCAACAAAGAAAAGACAAACCCTTCATTTGAAATGTACTTCTTAAAAGGCCCCATTCCCACTGCACTTATATCCAGTTTCCTAGGAGTAAGCCCCAGTCAATGGTGCTTAAGCAAATCCCAGTATAAGCAGACTTGTATAGGCCTGTGAGCACTGTCAGTTCTTCAGCCTGTTCCAGTATCCCAACACTGGCTCCATGGGGACCTTGGAGAGGTCTGGCTCTCCTCCAGCCTTTCCAGAAGATCTGGCAGTGCCCCATGGCCTATCCAAGTAAAATCCTCTGCAAGATGGAGCCAATGGGGTCGTTAAATGCATTCTAAAGAGTGGTTTCCTTGAAACAGACACCACTTTAACTCTGAAGCCAGCAGTTGTATCCTTTCCCCCCTTCTTTATTTTTATACTAAAGCAGGTGCAAGGACCCCCTGACCTTAAAGGCCCCCCTGGTTCTCCACATGAGCTTCCTAATCTGGATTTCACACTCAGTCCCTATTCCGGAGTAAAAATATTAAAAAAGATGTAGCTGGTAAACACAGATTTGCAGTTCTGACAGCTTGGGCCCTGTGAGAGGGAGGGGAGAATTTAAGTTTTGGCTGCCTTCAGAAATGGTTGGCACTGCCTGGGATTTCTAAATGAAGTTCTCTGTAATGAGACCACTGTCATCCTTGCATATGTGCAGTTGGCTGTTTATTTCACATCGTTATTCAAATGTAGATACTGTGTTCCCTGTTAAACAGAGATCGCCTGAAGGATGTTCAGTCACAATAAAAGAGATAATAAAACCAGAAGCAGCTCAGAATGCAGCGAAAAGATGTCAGCAAAAGTTCCCCTTGAAAGAAACTTACTCCAGCTGCCATCAGCCAGGGTGGAATCCTCTCTGGAAGGGCTGCATTTTGATTAGACACTGTGGCAGTGCAGATGTGCCCAGGCAATGCCTCGCCGAAAGTGAGAAGCACTATAAAGAAGGCGTGTGGCTCTGTGCTCTTTGCAGTTCTTGCAGATGTAAAAGATAGAAAAACAGTCAGGCCTATCCGAAGAATGGCATACAGTCTCAGAAAATAAAAATCTCTACCTGGTCTTTGAACCGGGCTGGAAAGCTGTTAGGAAACAATTACAGCTGGCCCATCAAACTGCAAAAAGTTCCAGAAAAGCTCCCCAAAGTGGATGAGTGGGCAGCAAAATCGCAGGTGAGAGACAACGTAAATGTAAAGTGATATACATTATGATTTCACTGAACTAGCCTTCCAGAACAGCATCCCCAGTCTGGCAATGTGTGAGGCATCCGTTGGATCCCCTTGGTTCAGCTCCCTGGGCTCGGACGTTCTTTCTCACGGCAGCGAGTCTGGCTTGCTACCAAGCACCCCCAATGCTTCTGTGGGCACCCTCTGGGAGCCATTTACACATGAACTCTGTGCAAGAGGGTCCTGCTTCTGTGCACACGTGTTGCAGCCTTTGTTTGTGCTGCATGTACAGCAGCACAATCAGAGCTGTTGAGCATTACACAACTGGAGATTTGAAAGCATCCACAGGCTTCCCTGTGGCTCAGTTCACTCGCTAAGCCAGGGCCAAGCACGAGGAGAACTCTTGACAAAGAGAAGAGAGTCAGATTCCCAAAGGGGTGCAATTTCCAAAACAGCTGTAACTCCCACCAGAAAATGCGTAATCAGTGGAATGCCACTTGAACATCACCTGCTGCTTCTACAGACCATATGCTGCATGATATTCAGCTAAAAGGTTTGCTCTGTGTCTACTAGGCATGACAAGACTCTTTAGTCGAGATCTATCACACTAATTGCAGGCAGTATAAAACAGCTAAAACTCCTTTGAACATTTCTTTTGACAATGTTCTGTAGCAGCTTGTTCTAGTGCGGGGGAGGTTAGTGCTGGCACACCCACTGATATCTGTGCGCTTTTGAATGATCATTTGCTTCATGAAAATTAACACATAGAAGGTGAAATTGATTCTCTGCACCCTTTTGACTAGTAAGAGGGTGATACTACAAAACCGGAAAGCTAAACACTTTCCTTCGGTAATGCAGTGGACCGTGGAACTCGCATCGCTTTTGATATTTGAGCAGGTGGCATATGGACACCAAGTTCAAATGGATACTTATTTCAATATTTGGTTTGCTTTTGTTGAAGCTGATGGATAATCACTAGAAGATTGCATAGCTTTCATACATCCCATGTAAGCATTTTTGAGAAAGGGGGGGGGGGAATGAAAACCTTTTCCAGATGCCTGTGGGAACCCTGCTGGGGACCCCTTTCCAGCACCACTGGAGGTACCTACAAATGCCATGACACCCCTGCACCGGAGACCTCTGCTCTAGAATAGAATACAATTCTATTTGCTCCATAGCAAAGGAGGCGTGAAAAGTGTAGACAAAGACAGCAGAAATGGCCTGGAAATTGTACGATCTGGAAACCTCTTGTATGAGGAAAGGCTGATGGTATCGGTGTTTTTAGTCTGCAGCAGGAGTGTAGAACTTGGGGCCAAATCCATTTACCTGGAGTCACAATCTGGCCCTCTCTAGGACTCCCCAGAATATCACCGCCCTTCCCCTAGTCTTGCCTCCTTTCCTCCAACTACCACCTTTCCCCCAGTTTTTCTGCAGTTTTTCTAAACGGCTGAAAGGCCCCTCCCAGGACTTAGTTACTAGGAGCAAGAGGCTAAAATAGGCTGGTATTTGGGGTGTTTTAGTCCAGACTTTGGCTTTAGCCCCCCCGGGTGTAGCCCCTATAAGTGTCTCCTATGGGGACTGAAACTGGCCCCAGGATGGCACTGGTGCTTTCAGCAATGGCAGGATCAGTGACTCCAAGAACCCAAGTGATTCCCTCTGGCCCTTTGAAGCTGCAGTCTTTGGTCAAGGTCCCCCAGTTGGCCAGCTGTGCTTCTCCTAGATTGTTCCCCTTGGTTCCTCATTGATCTGCATGCTTCCCTTCAGCGTGCACATACAGACATGCGGGTGAGCAAACTAAGTCTACGTGTTGCACAGCTACCCCTCTTCGTTGCGGGAAGACTTCTGAGCTCTGCAATTCCGACCGCTCAGAGGGCTACCTGGTGGCAGGTGTCCTTCCTGGTTCTGCAGATCATGGGATCCTCTGTGAGGCCCAGCTGTGGTTGAAAAGAGCGAGGGCAAAGATCACGGCCATCACGTGTCTGCAGCAAGGCAGCTTTGCTAAGATCTGCTCCTATGCATATGTGGACAAAAAAGTCCCACAACTGAGGCGTGCCAAGAGTTCTAGGACTTTTTCATAAGTGCCTGGGATTGTGCCCTTACAAGATTTAAACTGAAATTGGGGGCAGAAGCTCCACATTTACAGCTGTGAAACAAGGATTCCGTGCATCTGTGCAGAGTTTAACTTTTCAGTATTTTGTGGGAAGAAGAAAGCAGGAGTACAGAGACAGGCCTCACCATTAGGTAGACTGAGGCGCGTGCCTGAGGGAGCTGAGAGGCACAGAACGGGCAGAAGAGCGAGCAGGCCATAGCTCGCCTCGTGCCCCACACATCAGGCTGCTGGCGACAGTGCAGCAGGGAGTGGGGTTCTGACGGAAGGCTGGTTGGCAGGCCCCGATTTTCCATCTTGATTGCCCCCCTTCTTTTTCCTGTACACTCCTTCTTTGTCCTCAGGGTGCCCAGCTGGTCTCAGTCCCTGGTGGATGCTTGTCCTTTGATGTGTTCCTTGACTGAACACTCAAAACGAATGCAGATTCCACCTAATTATACCTTTCATCTCATGTGTACTCATCAGATGCTCAGGTTCCTGTACTCCTCAGATGCTCAGGTTCTTCCTTTAATTCTGGTTCAGAATGCTGTTAGGACTGTTCTCGTGACCATCCTCAATTTGAAGGCCAGAAACCACAGCAAGATTTTGCTGCTAGTCTTGAAGGCCTTGCTGCTCCATTCTGCAGCTTATCTTTCCCATCTGCTCTTCTGGGCAGACTACCAGACCCATGTGTCAGGCTGTGCTGACTCCTGCTGGCTTACAGATGACCGTGTCCGGCCAGCATGCTTTCCAGGGCCTTTTCCCTCAGATGCCTTGTCCTGGGTTCAAGACGTTCCCTTCCCCTTGTGCTGCAGCCAACCAGGAGTCTGAAGGAGTTCAAGAAAGGCTCGAAAACTTTTTCTGTTTGAAACGGAAGGATTGGTTGATTATTTGAGGTCTGAGGGTTAAGGCTTTCTGCATTTACATGGGTTTGATTTCTTTATTATGGGATTTATTCTTCTATATTAGTTAAGCTTTTTATAACTGAAAAAAGTATTCATGTAGTTCTGTTGTACTTTAAGGTTATTACAATCAATGCAGTTCTGTAGTGATGGACACTGTTGTTTTACTGTGTTTTCATGCAGCACTTTGGAATAAAGTTCTAAATAAACAAATATTATTAATCCAGATAGCTTGTGCATATGGAATGGTGTGATGGTGCTGTGGGGCGGAGGGAGCAGGGAGAAGGGGAGAATCTTGTCTTTCAGGCTAGCCCTGCCTGACTGAGTCCATTTAGCCCCACCATCTGATTGAAAGCATCTCAAAGCAGCTCACATTCCAATGATATGGTTTGCACAATCACTGCAGGCTATCATGACTGGTTTCTGGATATTCAAACCATCTGAATCTGGTTAATGAGTTGTATGGCAGTTACACAACCCTAGAACAGGCCATGGGTTACACAGAGGTTGTTTAACCCTTGCACAACCCATGCTGTCTGGGTTCAGATGACACAATATGCCAAAATTGCTGCTTCAGCATTCACAGTGGCTGCCTACCCACACAGCAGGCCACCGTAGCTTATTTAATTTTTTTTTCATCATGGAAACTGGCTTACAGCTGGAGAGCTACATCCAGGAGAACGCAAGGATGGAAATGTCTGACAGCCACCTCGGTGCTGTTCAGAACCATACAGCAACCATTCTGGAAATTGGTGCAAGTCTTCTAAACCAAACAGCTGAGCAGACTCGCAAGCTCACCGATGTAGAGATGCAGGTAAGAAGGAGCAGACGGGAGCATTGCACGTGTGTGCATGCACATTCACACACACACACAGCATTTTGAGCCACTCCTGACTATTTTCCCAGAGCACCTGGATTTCTTGGCAGCTCATTCATTCTACGCACTGATTATTGTTACGGACAATTAAAAGCAAAATCCTTTGCATGTTTAGACTAAATACAAAAGTACTACAACTCCCACTATTCTCCAACCATCCTTGGTGGCTGGGAGTTGCAGGAAGCTATAGGACTTTTATCTGTCTAAATACTCAGGATTGGGCCATAACTGGTTCTGTTTTTCTACATGTGCCTGCCAAAGGCAGCAATTCTCTTGCTTAAAAACAAAAGCAGAGAAACAAAGACCTAGTGAACCAGGTCTGTCTTTTCTTGACTTTTTTGCTTCCTGTTTAGTGGCTTGTATCTCCCCCACCCCACCCATCTCCATCAATCAGGTTCTCAACCAGACTTCACGGCTGGAAATCCAAGTACTGGAAAACTCTCTGACTACCAATAAGCTTGAGAAACAGCTGCTGCTGCAAACCCATGAGATCCATAAGCTCCAAGAGAGAAACAGGTTTGTGATGTGTCTGCTTCACATTCAACTCATGAGGAATCAACAGGGCCAACTCACAGGTTCTGTGTGCATTTGCATCAATTTAATTCCAGCTGCAGGAGTCCGGACTTCTGGTGTGGAAAAGGTTTGTAATTTTCAGGACAGGATGTCTGAGGCAAAAAGGCAGAATGGGGAGGATGATTCTATGCCCACAGGACAGGACCTGGGGTCCATACGATAGTTCGGATAATTAGAGACGGCACTCAGATCTTGGAGCAAGGAATCTGCCCTTGGATTCTCCTCTTCCCCCCCTCAGGTGAGAAACCAGTGTGAACCATGCTGGGTGCCTTTTTGAGGGCAGGAAACTGGTAAAGGGGGCATTCAGGGGGCAAAAGGAGGCGGGTGCTCCAGTTTTTTCCCCACCCCTTACAGCAGATCACCTCTGCTGCTCCTTTGACGGTGTAGGAATTTATGAGGAATGGGAGCCATCACAAGATGGCGCTCCTAAGGATGCTCCTAGAGGGAGGGTCTCCTAGTGCTGATGGGAGCCACAGTGCCAGAAAATATAGGGGGACACCTGTTCTGGCCTCTCGAATCAAGCTCCTAAAGTTAGGACGGCCCTTTAGTTATCCTCCTCTTGAGCTACCCAGAAGGTGTTTCTGTCTTTGTTAGCGGTTTTTTATAAGGCAGCAGGGTGGGATATAAATGCTTCCCAAAGCGGCTCTTCCCTTCACTTCTATGGAGGATGTCACTGCCCTTTCTGTCCCTTAGCTTCCTAGAGAAAAAGGTCCTTGCCATGGAGGGAAAACGGGAAGAGGAACTCCACAGCCTCAGGTCTGACAAGTTGGAAATGCAGAAGCTGCTCTCCAGGCAGATGGACCTCGTGGTCCAGCTGGAGCAACGCCTGGGCACCGCTCTGCGCAACAACACAGCCCTGCAGAAGCAGCAGGCCTCACGGGCAGAGGCGCTGACGCACCGGGCAGGCCTGGCATCCCAGTGCGGCCGTAAGTAGCAGCCGCTGAGCCGGGCTGGCTGGGGAACCTCCTCCTGCCTGGGTGCCCGTTTCCCCTGGAAGGTGCCCTCAGGGGCCGCGTTCCAGGGGAGGGTGCAGCCGCAGGGGGAAGGGGAGGAGCGAAAGTGTACCCCTCGCCCAGCACATGCAGCTTGTACTGCTAGTGACTAAGAACCTAAAACAGGGGCCCTCAAAGTTTTTCACTAGGGGGCCAGCTGAAAGGCTGCGGTGACCATTGCGGGCTGGCGAGGTGTCGTTGGGCGCGCGCGAGGCGGCATCGGGCACGCACAGCGGTGGCTCGCTCGCTCAGAGAGCTCCCAGTGAGTCCAGAACCATCTCTGAGTGAGCAAGCCACCCCCTCCCCTGCAAGCGCACGTGCGGGCGGCAAATGGCGGCATGGGCCAGAGGGATGGCCATGGTGGGCCGGATCCATCCCACGGGCTGTAGTTTGAGGACCCATGCCCTAAGAGATGCATCTCCACTGACAGGGACTTGCTCTCAATAGCGAGAACAAAATAATAAACAGGGAAGCTGAATTTTCTTGAGCCTCTGGAATTTATTAATAGAACAGCCAGGACCTCTGCAGTTACTTACGACAGCGTGCTACTGGGCTGGGGTCTCCACCACCCACTACATGCTTTTAGAACATACACAGAGCGTTTTATAGACTCTGAGTCACATGGGCCCAGCAGCTGGGCAGTTGATAACAAAATAAGGGGAACACAGGTCAGAGGAGGGTAAGAAGTCTGCAGAGGGGGCTCAGTAGAAAGGCTTTTGATTGCAGGATACCCTCACTGAGGCACAGGGATTATTGCGGGTCTTGGCATGCAAATGAGGGTGATTGCAATGCTGTTAACCTGGCAGCCTTATCAGTTCTTACTGATCAACAAAAGAATAGCCCTGGCAGTCTCTAGGCAAGCTATCAGTACCCACTTCTTAAACTAACAGCAAATCCCAAACAGTAAGGACGTAAGCGCTCCTTTACATAGCCAGGACTCAAGCCGTTAAGGGCTTTGGAGGTAATAACCAACACCTTGAATTGGGCCCGGACTTCAATAGGAAGCCAGTGAAGCTGACGGAGGACTGGAGTTATGTGAACACAACGCCCAGTCCCTGTCAGCAACCTGGCAGCTCTATTCTGCACCAACTGAAGTATCTGGACTATCTTCAAGGGCAGCCCCACGTAGAGCATGTTGCAGAAATCTAATTGGGAAGTTACCAACGCGTGTGTCACTGTCGCCAGGCAGTCGTTCTCCGGGTAGGGACGCAGCTGATGGAACAGCTGAAGCTGAAGGAAAGCACTCCTCGCCACCGCTGTCACCTGAGCTTCAAGTGAAAGCTCTGGGTCAAGGAGCACTCCCAAGGTGTGGACCTTGTCCCTAAGAGGGAGTGCAACCCCATTCAGGACAAGGTCACGGTCCCCTTCCCCCAAGCCCGATCCGCCTACCAACAGGACCTCCATCTTGTCTGGACTGAGCTTCAGTTTACTGGCCCTCATCCAGCCCATTACTTTGGACAGGCACCGGTTCAGTACAGCCACTGCCTCACCTGGATTGGTAGAGAACAAGAGGTAGAGCTGGGTATCATCAGCGTACTGATGATTCCTCAGCCCACACCTCCTAATGACCTCTCCCAGCGGTTTCATGTAGATGTTGAATAGCAAGGGGGACAAAATAGACCCCTGCGGAACTCCATGGCATAACTGCCATGGCGCAGAGTCATAGTCACCCAGCACCACCTTCTGGAATCAGCCATTGAGATAGGAGTGGAACCACTGCAAAGCAGTGCCCCCTACTCCCAATCCCGCTAGCCTATCCAGAAGGATACCATGGTCGATGGTATTGAAAGCCGCTGAGAGGTCCAGGAGAACCAACAGGGATGCACTCCCCCTGTCTTTCTCCCTGCACAGGTCATCGTACAGGGTGACCAAGGCAGATTCAGTTCCGTTCTTGGGTCTGAAGCCGGACTGAAATGGGTCCAGATAATCAGTTTCATCCAAGAGTGCTTGGACTTGTCCCGCCACCACCCGCTCCAGCACCTTGCCCAAAAACGGGATGTTGGCCACTGGTCTATAATTAGTGGCCACCTCTGGATCCAGGGACGCCTTCTTCAGGACTGGTCGGACTACCGCCTTCTTTAAAGGGGCAGGTACCCGGCCCTCGCTCAGAGAGGCTTTAACCACTTCCAGGATCCAGGTTCCTATCTCATGCTTGGCGTTCTTAATTAGCCAAGATGGGCAAGGGTCCAATAGGCAAGTGGTGAGACGTACTCATCCAAGCACCTTGTCCACATCATCAGGCCACAATAACTGAAACTCATCCATCAATTTTGGACCAGACGGCGACATTGGTATCTCCCCAGAAGCCTCTGGGTCACTAGTGGAGTCCAGTTCGTGATGAATCTGAGCAATTTTCTCCCTAAAATGCTTGGCAAAGTCATCACAGCGGGCCTTTGAGGGTGGTACAGGATCTTTCTTTGAGCCAGGATGAACCAGCCCTTGTACCACCCGAAAAAGCTCCACCAGATGGCATTGTGAGGAGGCAATGGAAACGGAGAAGAATTTCTTTTTCGCCGCCCTCACCGCCACAGCATAGGCCCGATAATGGGCTTTCAAGTATGTTCGGTCAGATTCATCCTGTGATTTCCTCCACCTATGCTCTAGACGTCTCCCAACCAGCTTCATCGCCTGCAATTCAGGTGTATACCAAGGGGAAGAGTGGGCTCTGCCCAGCAGGAGAGGGCACTTGGGAGCGATCGTGTCAATAGCCCTGGTCATTTCCCCATTCCATAGTTCGACCAGAGCATCGACAGGAGCACCAGTCTTGTCAACTGGAAACTCCCCCAGGGCCTTCAGGAATCCATCCGGATCCATCCAGCTCCAGGGGCAGACCCACACAACCGGCTCCGCACTCTTACAGAGGGAAAGGCCGCTCTCGAGCACAAACCTCACAAGGAAGTGATCTGACCATAACAGGAGTGTTAGACACAAATTCCTCACCCTTAGACCATCCTCTTCCTGCTCCGTCAAGAAAACCAGGTCCAGAGTGTGTCCACATTCATGGGTCGGGCCTATGACATGTTGAGACAGCCCCATGGCTGCCATGGAGGCCATGAAGTCCTGAGCCGCCCCGGTCAGAACAGTCTTGGCATGGAGATTGAAGTCCCCCAGGACCAACATCCTGGGAATCTTCAACACCAGGTCCGAGACGATCTTCATCAGCTCAGGCAGGGATTCTGTTGGGCAGAAGGGTGCACAGTACACCAACAGAATCCCCAGTCTGTCTCGGTCGCCCAACACCAAGTAGAGGCACTCTAGCCCTGGCCTCGAGGGGACTGGAAGCCCCGTGAGGGAGATGGAGGCTCGGTAAACCGAAGCAACCCCCCTCCCCTCCCTTCCAGGTGTGGACGGTGCTGAACTAGATACCCAGGCAGGCACATTTGAGAGAGGGCAACATCCCCCCATCTCCCGCCCAGGTCTCTGTTATGCAAGCCAGGTTGGCCCCCTCATCCACAATCAGGTCGTGGATGAGGGATGATTTGTTGTGGACCAACCTGGCATTAAGCAGCAGCACCGTCAGACCCAGGGGGCAGTTGACAAGACTACCTGGAACCCTCTGGCTGGGGGTAGAACCAGAAGGAGGGACAGGTGTCAGCCATCTGTCCCTCCTTCTTCTATGTGGACACGTTAAACCCCCACTGCTGTAATGTCCATTGCCCCCAACCACCCCAATGGCGGTGCCCACACGCTCTCCAGGTAACCCAACCATCGACATGGCCAGGAACGACTCCGTAAAAACAAGTTAAAATACAATAAAAACGTTAAAACAATATAAAACTCCCCATCTACCCCCAATATAAAATTCCACCCACCGCCAAGGTCCCTCGCCAGCCTAGCCCTCGCACAGCCTCAAATGGCCTCAAATGGCGGCGACCGCCCTTTGGCTGTTGCCCTTCAGCCACCGGCCCTGGCCGCATCCGGCAAGTTAAGCCAGCATCCATCCCTGCGCCCTGCCCCCAATCCAGCATTACTCTCACCAACACCGGCGGGGGGGAGCAGGGCGGACGTGGGTAACTCGCCGGCCAGCAAGATGGCGGCGCCCTCCTCAGCAGCAGGGTGGCGGCAGCGTCCTCCCGTCCTCCAACCTTGGGATGGTCCAGCGGTGGCCGCAGGAGCGGCGTCGGCTGCCTCCCGGAGCCCGGCGGAGCGCCGCGATGTTCTCAGCAGTGGCTGCGGCAGGTGTTCCGAGGGGGGAGGGGGGCCCAGATCCCAGATGTTTTTATTACCAGGATTAATCTGAATTTCCCCAACAGCACCTTCCAATATAAGAAAATGCAGCAGAAACCATGGGAAATGACCCAAACAATTGGTGGTCTGGGAATGGGTGGAGCCATTTAGGGGCTGGGAGGGCACTGGATTGGGATCCCAGGTGGGTTAGGGTTAGGGTCTGGCCTCCTTCCCTGCTCCCCCAAGCGCTCCTGGCCGTTCGGCCATTCAAGGCAGAGGCGCTTCCACCGCGCACCCCAGTGCTGCTGCCTGCCTTCCCCAGGTCTGGGAACAGCAGCCCTCTGCGAGGGTGGCAGTGGCTGCTTGTGAAGGGTCTCTGTTTGGCCCTACAAAAAGTGCACATGGATGGAAGCCCCTCAGCTGAGACAGCCCCACTTGGGGAGAATAGGGGTAAGCACCTCCTTTGTCTGACTTCTGTGCAGAAATTTATCTGGGGCCTCCAGAAGAGCAAAAGACATTCGAAGACTGTGCCGCTGCATACAAATTGGGGTTCACCAGCAGTGGAGTCTACACCCTGTCATTTCCCAATAGCTCAGCCACTGCAAAAGTGAGTACAAGCCCCAGTGCCGTTTGTCATGCTAGCAAGAGGGGCTCTGGAGGGGTGGTGGGCGAGTTCCCAGGATGCGTGCTGCTCAGCCTGCTCCCATGTCTCCTCTGAGAGCCAATGTTCCCTCTGGCTTGAGGCCCTTCTGATACCTTGGCCTGCCAGGCCCATCACCCCCGCCAGCATAGCTGGTGATGAAGGATGATGGACATTCTAGGCTAGATCATCTGGAGGTCCACATGGTGACCTCCCTTGCTAGAACTTGCCCTCACCTGCAAACCTTGCTCCGGATGCTCAGATGGCAGCAGGCATCTGCGATGGGCAGAGGGATGGAGGCCCCAGTGGGGACATCTTTAAACAGGCTGGACAAATTCTGGGTTCTTTGGCCAAGGCTGTGGGCTCTGTTGTTGTGAGCTGCCTAGGAAATGTTCAGTTAGAGGGCAACACACAAATGCCATTTATGCAGGGTGCAGAGGGCGAAGGGTTTTATTACCCTTTGTGGAAAGATTCCCCTGCAAGTGCCTTGAGCTGGCTAATGAAATCAGTAGGACTGAAGCAGGAAAACGGTGTAAAGAGCAACAATTAAACATGCCACAAATTAATGTAAAAAAGCAAGAAAGGAGTAAAACCAGCGAGCAGGTATCACAAATGGCATCCAATGTAGCAGAACCCCCGCCAATAACGTACCGCAATCTGTTCAGGTGTTTTGTGACATGGAGACCAGTGGAGGAGGCTGGACTGTGATACAACACCGGAAGGATGGTTCTGTAGATTTCCAGCGCACCTGGAAGGACTATAAAAAGGTGAGGGTCCACCTGGACAGTCCTGCTCCTGCCTCCTTTATTCCAGAGTGGAAATGGGAGAACTTCTGATACTGAGTGGATTAAAACCGCATCTAAATAGGAGTGCAGAACCTCCAGCCCCTGGGCTGGGTTCAGCCCTTCTGGAGTGCAGGGAAGTTCTCGGATTCTCCAGATAGCCGTGCCTCTTCCCTTCTGGGTTTTGTGCAGTTCTCTTGCCATTCTGAGGGGTAGAACTGTCTCTCCTTCGACTTTGCTACTGGCAGGGGGAGACTGAACCTCAAATACGCCAGTATTTGGTATTTTGGTCCTGCCCTTTTGCCTTTGGGTCTGCTCACCTCTTGAATGCAGCCAAGAGGTTCTTCAAGATGGAGCTCAGCACTTGGGCTGCAAGAGGTCGCACGGTGCTGATATAAAAGCATCCTGCAACAGCTAAGACTGGCCTGACCAGGAAGGTGTGGGAAAGCAAAGCTGAATCCTTTTGTTCAAAAGAATGTACAGTGGTACCTCAGCTCACGAACGCCTCAGTTCACAACCAAATTGGGTTGTGAACAGAAATGTCAGAAAAATTTTGACTCAGGTCATGAACTCCGCATTGGGTGACAATCACGATCGCGCCCGTCTTCCCTGCACAGGCGCAATTGCGGTTGCGCTCGGGGGGGGGGGCACGATTGCGGTTGCTCTTGTGCAGGGAGGACGGGTGGGATCACAGTCATACTCGGAATGTGGGGGGGAGATGGCCACAATCACGCCCATCTCCCCCCCAAGCACGCTCGCAATCACGCTCGTCGTCCCCCCCCCCCACGTGCGCCCATGATCTCGCCCATCTTCCCTGTGATTAAAAAAAAATATTTACAGAACGGATTAACCGTATTTACATTGAACTTTATGGGGGAATTTGACTTGGCTCACAACTAATTTGGGTAGCGACCAGAGTTGTGGAACGGATTAAGTTTGTGAGCCAAGGTACCACTGTAATGAACGGTTTGATTTGGCAGGTGAAACTTTGAGTCGACACAAAACCCAACAATGGCGAAGAAAGATTAAGTCATAAGTACTTAGTCCTAGCTAAACAGAACAGAGAGGTCTTGAGAGTCAAGGACTAGACAGGGACAACTGGGCCCAGTTTGGAAAACCGGCACTGCACAGGCCAGGAAAAGGCCGGGGTTTCTAAAGGCCAGCGTAGAATGGACTTGCTCTAGGATTCCTTGTTTTTCCCAGCCAAGATAAAAGCAGCAATGAAGGAGGGCAGCATAAATCAGTTCAAAAGTTCCTCTCCCAACATCGTAGACCCAGTCGAACAGGTGGGGCCTTCACTACTGCTGCTTTTTCATTTGGGGAAAAATAGCTGAAGACCAGTTTTTGTTTTAAGTAACATTAATTTAAAGCTTCCTTTAAGGGTAAAACCCTCTCCCAGAGATCTCTTGATGGCATAAAACATACTAACTGTTGTTTTGTAATGGCCTATGGCTAAATACAACAAACCTTGACTTGACGGGTTGTTCTTGTTACATGCCATTGTGTTGTCTCTGACTTACGGGCACCCTTTGAACGAAGGAATGCCTTCTAGAAGGCTCTGTCCTGCTCAGCTCTCGCCAACTCAAAGCTGTGGCTCCCTTTACAGAACTGGTCCCTCTCAGGGTTGGTCTCCTTCTGCCTTTGGCTTTCCCTAGAATGAATGTCTTTTCCAGGCAGTCCTGCCATCTCATGATGTGCCCAAATTATGAAAGTTTCAGTTTCGTCATTTTTGCTTCCAGAGATAACTCTGACTTGATTAAATCTAGGAACCAGTTGTTCGTCTTTCTGTTAGCCCAGAGTATTCACAAAGCTCTCCTCCAGGACCGTGTTTTGAATACGCCCATGTTCTTCCTGCCAGCTTTCTTCACTGCCCAGCTTTCATGCCCAAATACTATAGTCCTGCGTACTAAAACATGAATGCTTTGGCCTTGGTCTCCAGTGAAAGGTCCTCATACTTGATTATCTTTTCTAGCTCCTCCATCACTGCCCGACAGCTTGCTTATCCTCTGCGCCTGCCTGAGCACCTGGGGCGGAAGCCATGCGATAAGCCCATCTGCACCTCTCACTTTCCCTGGCCCCCCAGCAGCCTTCTCCTGCTCTGACTCAAAGTCCAGATTCGTGTAAGCTGGGGATGTGCATCAAGAACAACTGCCCCTCTCATTCCCAACATTGGGTGGACATTGTAATTCTCCTGCAGAGAAGTGGCTACCTGGATGGAGTGCCAGATTAAACACCCGCTTTAGAGAAGGCCAATGCCATGCCTGCTAGCAGTCCTGGCTGATGGGCAGCGCCCAGGCGGGAGGCAGCCCTTGGCTTTGCAGGACCACCCAAGCAGTTTTAGTGCCTGCAGCCACCCATCCGAAAGAACGGGGCTCGCACAGCAGTGCTTCCCAACGCCTGATGGACCCAGGGTCCTCATTTATTGATTTATTCACATCCAAGAGGGATGGGCGGACTCTCCAGAGCTTAACTGGGGCAGGGACTGAGCCCGCTTCCTCTGCAGTGCAGCGCTCCGAGGTGGAAGCCGCAGACTCTCAGAACTCAGAATCGGCCCAGCAAGTCCCGTGGCACCTCTTTCTCCCTGTTGCATCAGCCCTCGTGCTACAGAGCTTTTGCCCGGGGGCACCGTACTGGTCCTGCAGAAACCAGCGCTAGTCTGTTGACTTAGCCAGGTATTTTCTGCTGCCGTAACTTTCCCAGAAAGGCAGGCTCAAACTTGTGGGAACGAGTGGGCTCCATGTGGGTCAGGTGAGGCTGCTGCACCTCCTGGCTCAGGGGACTGGGGCAGATGTGCTTAATTCTGCCCAGCACTAGCCATGGTCTGTTTCCTCAGTCCCAGTTATGTGTTCAAAAGCAAGCGGACGCCATGTTCGCACAAGATCTGTGTCAGGGTGGAGCATAGAGGAGATATCAGAGAAACCTCCAAGGAGAGAGGCAAATCTAACATCAGCAAAAAACTGTTTGCCTGGAGTAAAGTTAACAGAGCTTATATATGATTTCTGTGTGTACCCATGCAATCCAGATATGCTGATGCAGAGACAACTGCATTCTCCACTCCAGATCTTAGCTAGGAACATTTGCCTCCATGATCTGCCTTTTTGTACTTCTTGTGCCTTATTTTGGTTGCATCAGAACTTCGGGCCGCCCGCTATGTGTCCTTTGCACTCTTAAACAACGGAGGCTGCTTGCTTCAGCAACCATGCCTGGTTCTTGGTTTGCCCAGGTTCACACAGCACAGCTCCCTATGAGTCAGTGACAACCCACCCTCAGCCCTGTCCTCTGCCTTGGAGCTCGTGTGAATGCAGCCTCCCCCAGCCTGGTTTCCGTCAGATGGTATTCTGCAGCATTGGCTTGGGGCATGGTGGATGCTGCATCCAACACACCTGGAGAACACCGGCTGGAGAAGGTTGATTTTAATTACAATTGTTATTTCTAAATGTGTATCCATGCAGAGAAATTAGCATACTGAAACTGCATGTAATGCAGTGCCTTAGCTTTAATTCTGTCACTTCTCCTTTCTGTAATGGCCCCCTTCGGTGCTGGCTTTCTACCTGTAGGGAATCTTTATATGCAGAAACAGCAGCTACCCAAGCCCGATGGGGAGTCTGAAGTGGGACAACCCGAAGTGGCCCCCCTTCTGGGAGCAAGGCCTTTGCTCAGGCCACTAGGCTACCAGGTGCTTTTCCGGGCCACTGCGTGGCCACCCCACACCAGTCCCTCTCAAGGCATCCTGTTGTTTTCCTGCCTCTCATGTCAGGCCTTTGCTAATACCGCCTGTTCTTCTGTGGACGTTTCTGCCTCTGCCTTACAGGGCTTTGGCTCCCCACCAGGAGAATATTGGCTGGGCAACGACTTTCTCCATTTGCTCACCACGCAACATCCCCAGTCCCTCTACATCAAGCTCCAAGACTGGGAGAACGAGGAGGCCTTTTCCACATATGAGCATTTCCATGTCGGCCCCGAGGAGCATAACTACCGGTGAGCCTTCCGTGCGGAGCGTGCGTTCTCCTTGGAAAAGGCGCCCCAAGCAGCCATGCATTGATCCATTTGTATGTTGTGTCTAAAGGCCAAATGATGTTTTGAGTGTTGTTTTTTAATGTTGTTAATAAATAGAAATAGCAAATGCATATACATCTGTAAATGTGTGTATTTTGATACGGAAGCCAAATGTGTGGTGTAGTTTTCATTGGAATGTATAGTTTGATGATGAGGAAGACCAGCCTGGAATTAATTTTGATGAAGGACAGCGTATGTGTATGTATGAGAGAGAGAGAGAAAATATACATAATGTACAATGTACATTACATAGTATAAAAATTAATGCATATACACATGTATATATGTAAAAATTGTTCAATGAAACTTGAGGCTATCCCTGGCACACCTGTGCTTTTTCCTCCACAAAACAAACAGCAGCTTTGTTGGGGGCAGGCGGGATTTGACCTGGGCAAACAGTATGATGGGAAAATAGCAAGCACCCTCACCCCATTTCCCCAGGAACCCATGGACAACCCCCAGGTTGCTACAAGCTTGTAAAAGTCTGATCTGACTCTGAGATCTTCTGCATAAGGTCTAGTTTGGCCCTCAGACCTCAGCATAGCACTAGTAAAGAGCATCTTTTTCCAGGAAGGGCTAGAACTTTGCCTGCCTGCCTGCCTGCCTTTCAAAAAATGTCCTTCTTTTATATATTTTTAATTGTACCTTTATCCTACTCTCCTTTAAGGAACCCAAGACAGTGCATCAGGCTCTCCCCGGCTTCTTTGTCCCTCGCAACAGCCCCATAATAAGTAGACCTGCTGGCACTCCTGACAGCCCCTATGTTGCTGTTGTTGTTAGTCGCGAAGTCATGCCCGACCCATCGTGACCCCATGGACAACATTCCTCCAGGCCTTCCTGTCCTCCACCATCCCCCAGAGTCCACCTAAGCTCACACCAACTGCTTCAGTGACTCCATCTAGCCACCTCATTCTCTGCCGTTCCCTTCTTATTTTGCCTTCTATTGTTCCCAGCGTTAGGCTCTTCTCCAGGGAGTCCTTCCTTCTCATTAGGTGGCCAAACTATTTGAGTTTCATCTTCAGCATCTGGCCTTCAAAAGAGCAGTCAGGGTTGATCTCCTCTAGGACTGACCGGTTTGATTGCCTTGCAGGCCAAGGGACTCGCAGGAGTCTCCTCCAGCACCACAATTCAAAGGCCTCAATTCTTTGGCACTCAGCCTTCCTTATGGTCCAACTCTCACAGCCATACATTGCAACTGGGAAAACCATAGCCTTGACTATACGCACTTTTGTTGGCAGGGTGATGTCTCTGCTTTTTAGTATGCTGTCTAGATTTGCCATAGCTTTCCTCCCCAGGAACAAGCGTCTTTTAATTTCCTGGCTGCAGTCCCCATCTGCGGTGATCTTGGAGCCCAGGAAAATAAAATCTGTCACTACCTCCATTTCTTCCCCATCTATTTGCCAGGAAGTGAGAGGACCGGATGCCATGATCTTAGTTGTCTTAATGTTGAGTTCCAAGCCAACTTTTGCGCTCTCCTCCTTCACCCGCATCAAGAGGCTCTTTAGTTCCTCTTCAGTTTCTGCCATTAGATTGATAACTTCTGCATATTTGAGGTTGTTGATATTTCTCCCGGCAATCTTAATTCCAACTGGTGATTCATCTAGCCCCGCCTTTCTCATGATGTGCTCTGCATATAAGTTAAATAGCCAGGGCGACAGTATACAGCCTTGCAGAACTCCTTTCTCAATTTTGAACCAATCAGTGGTTCCGTGTCCAGTTCTCACTCTTGCTTCTTGACCCACAAACAGGTTTCTCAAGGGACAAATAAGATGGTCTGGTACTCCCATCTCTTTAAGAACTTGCCACAATTGGTTGTGACCCACACAATCAAAGACTTTAGCATAGTCAATGAGGCAGAAGAAGATGTTTTTCTAGAACTCCCTAGCTTTCTCCATGATCCAGCGTATGTTGGCAATTTGATCTCTAGTTCCTCTGCCTCTTCGAAATCATAGAAACAAAGAAACATAGAAACAGAGCAAGTCAGAAGGGGCCTCCCGGGCCATCTATTCTCACCTGTGGCACCAGCCGGCTCCGCTCACGACATGCCCACCATGTGGACATCCAGCCTATCCTTGAACACCCCCACCGATGGGGCCTCAACGACCTCTCGTGGAAGTCCATTCCACACCCTCGGGGTCCTGAAATTCCACACCCTCGGGGTCCTGAAATCCTGCCTGTACTTCTGGTAGTTCTCAGTCCACATACTGGTGGAGCCTATCTTGTAGGATTTTGAGCATAACTTTGCTAGCATGTGAAATGAGTGCAATGATGTGGTAGTTTGAACATTCCTTGGCATTGCCCTTCTTTGGGATCGGAATGTAAACTGACCTTTTCCAATCCTGCAGCCACTGTTGAGTTTTCCAAATTTGCTGGCATATTGAGTGTAGCACTTTTACTGCATTGTCTTTTAAGATTTTGAATAGCTCAGCTGGAATACTGTCACCTCCACTAGCTTTGTTGTTGCTCAGACCTATTTGACTTCACATTCTAGGATGTCTGGCTCGAGGTCAGTGACCAACCCATCATGATTATCAGGGACATTAAGCTCTTTCTTGTACAGTTCTTCTGTGTAATCTTGCCACCTCTTCTTAATCTCTTCTGCCTCTGTTAGTTCATAGTTCTTCAGGCACACTGTCTATCAGATCCAATTCCTTAAATCTATTTGTCACCTCTACTGTATATTCATCAGAGATATGATATAGGTCATACCTGAGTGGCCTAGTGCTTTTCCCTACTTTCTTCAATTTGAGCCTAAATTTTGCAACAAAAAGCTCATGATCTGAGCCACAGTCAGCTTCTGGTCTAATTTTTACTGACTGTATAGAGCTTCTTCATCTTTGGCTGCAGAGCACATAGTCAATCTGATTTCTGTGTTGACCATCTGGTGATGTCCATGTGTAGAGTCGTCTCTTGGGTTGCTGGAAAAGAGTGTTTGCTATGACCATCGTATTCTCTTGACAAGATTCTACCAGCCTGTGTCCTGCTTCATTTTGTCCTCCAGGGTCAAACTTGTCTGTTATTCCGGTTATCTTTTGGCTTCCTACTTTAGCATTCCAATCCTCCATGATGATAAGGGCATCATTTTTTGGTGTTAATTCTAGAAAGTGTTGTAGGCCTTCATAGAACTGGTCACCTTCAGCCTCTTCAGCACCAGTGGTTCTCCCATTCCAGTCCATTTTAGTTCACTGATTCCAAAGATGTCGATGTTCAGTCTTGTCATCTCTTGTTTGACCACATCCAGCTTGCCTTGATTCATGGATCTTACATTCCAGGTTCCTGTGGAGTATAGATCTTTACAGCATCGGACTCTCCTTTCACCACCAGATACATCAGCAACTGAGTGTCCTTTCGGCTTTGACCCAGTCGCTTCATTCTTTCTGGCGCTACTAGTACTAGCCCTCTGCTCTTCCCCAGGAGCATATTGGACACCTTCCAACCTGAGGGGCTCATCTTCCGGCATCATATCTTTTTGCCTTTTGGTCCTGTCCATGGGGTTTTCATGGCGAAGATACTGGAGTGGGTTGCCATTTCCTTCTCCAGTGGATCACGTTTTGTCAGCGCTCTCTGCTACGGCCTGTCCGTCTTGGGTGGCCCTGCACGGCATGGCTCATAGCTTCATTGAGCTTCGCAAGCCCCTTCACCATGACAAGGCAGTGATCCATGAAGGAGCTTGTACGCAAAAACACAAACGAAGTAACAGAAGAACAAGTTGATCAGCAAGACCTTTTCAAAAACTGACAAAATATATATATAAATTTGACTCTATCTATGAAACTAGAGCTGATGCAGTCTAGCCAATGCAATTTCCTTAATCTGCACCCCAAGTAACCTCAAGAACAGGTGTAAAAAGCAAGGCGCCAAGAAAAAAAGACGCATTTTTTTTTGGTTGGGGTGTGTATTGATTTAATTATTGAACTTATTAGTGACAGGGTTAATAGTGGTGTCTTTACCACCTCATGCAGACTTTCTGTGAGGAGATACGGCGGCACAGCAGGGCGCACCAGCAGCCTCAGTCCCGTGCGAGCGGACTTCAGCACCAAGGACAGGGACAACGACCGCTGCGCGTGCCAGTGCGCACAGATTGCTGGCGGAGGTAAGGCGTGGCACAGGGCGCGTGCTCAAAACCCCCCTTGCCTTGCAAGTTGTGCAGTGGCTCCAGAGAAGGAATCGTGGGCCCGTGGCTGGAGCCGTATCCAGCCCGTGGGCCACAGTTTGAGGACCCCTGCGCCAGCCTTTGCTCCATCCCAGCTGCCCGGCCCCGGCCGATCCTGCTGCCGTCCTGCCTCCCCGCTGCCCTGCCTTACCAGCTCCCCGCACCCCTCCTCCCTGACCTCGCCTTGCTCCTGAGCGAGACCATCTTTGATACCTGACCTTTGGCCTGTGTTCAGACCATGCTTTTGCCTGAACGTTGTTGCTTGGAGGATCTGGCCCGTGGGTCGTTCGAAGATGTGCCTCTTTTCCTCCAACCTGGGACAAGCTTCTGCCCTGCACCTGCTGCCTGGTCCTGGCCTCCTGATTGTAGCTGCCTGCTGCTGACATTCCAGACCTTACGGTGGGGCTGGTTCCACTGCTCTTTCATCAGGAAAGCAACCCTCTCTGGTGCTTGGGGTGATCCCACAGACGGTCCCCCCACCCCAAAGGGAAAGTCACCTTCCCTCAGGGCCATAGCAGGAGGGGACCTCCCCCAGCCGTGGTGCTGGTCATTTGTGGCTTGTTCAAATGATGAAAAAGCTCATCTGAGACATCCTATGGGCCTTTGGCTGCTCCCCAACGATATAATTTCTGTTTGTGAATGTGTAGACCAGCAGTGCTTCACAGCTGCTGTTCAGGGTCATTATCTGTGGTTGCCAAAATTGATCATGGAATAATAAGAAGCACAGCATTCTGCAAGATGGAAACTTTCTTCTGCACATCCAGACGAATCCCAGTAAAGGGAAAATTGCATTTTAAAAAGGCAGGTAGCATCATCCCAGGCTCAGTCTGTCTTCCTTTTGGAAGAGCGTCCCTAGCCTCTGGCCCTGGTTGCAGTGATGACCAGGTGTATGTTGTGAGCCGCCCCGAGGCTTCGGCGAATGGGGCGGCATAGAAATGTTTTAATAAATAAATAAATAAATTAAAGCAGCAGGAAAGAGAGAGCAGCTCCTCTCTTCACGGCTGCTATTCCAGGTGATCTTTGTGGGGGCAAGTCAGAGCTCTACCTGGCAGCAGCTTTCCCCGAGGTGCTGGGCTACAGCTCCCTTCAACCTGGCTGGAAGCAATGGGAGGCTGCTCTTCACTACTCAGTGCCTTCCGGACCACAACTCCCAGAATCCTGGATTAGCTGGGAAGGCTAGGGCTTGGAGGTTACAGTCCTAAACATCTGGTGGTCACCAAGCTGCTTGCCCTTGCACGGCATACCAGCAAAGCTTCTCAAATGGATGGAGATGAGGTAAAGGCACGCAAGAAAATCTGTTCGATGTGGAGGATTCTGTGGATGAACTTTAAACAGTTTGGAGGCGTAATGTGAGAGGGGTTCTTTGGGGTCTTCAGGGCAGAAAAGCCTGAGTGTCCTCACTCCCCCTCTTTGCTTTGCTCCTTTCTTCTTCTCTGCCAGGCTGGTGGTTTGATGCGTGTGGTCCCTCCAACCTGAATGGCATTTATTACTCGCCCAGCCCGGCAGTGGTCAGGTACAATGGCATGAAGTGGCATTACTGGAAAGGTCCCAGCCATGCCCTCAAGATGACCACCATGATGATCCGCCCCGTGGCTTTCAGAGAGGAGTAAGGGAGCCTGCCATGTGGCCACAGGCTGAGACGGACCGGCAGGCTGAGAGACACCCGCGGGCTCTGCCTAAGCCCGAGCACAGCTCAGTGGCTCCCTTCAAACTGTGCATGCCCAGCTGAAGACCGGACACGCGGTTGGGATACTGGGTCGGGGTGGATGGATCCATCAATCCTGTTCTTGCTGGAATGGTTGGCTTTCTGGGGGCCAAGATTGTTCCATCCCATTTTGCAGAAGGCGGCGATTTAAAAAGAAGAAGAAATCTGTACATCAATTGATACTTGCTGGGTGCATCTTCCCTAATGTATTAATTTTTAAAAGGTGAATTTCCCCCAGTTAATTTCCATTGCTGTAATGCACTTTGTACATACTTGTCTGAAATATTTGTATTTTGTGTTTGTTGTTCCTTAACCTGCAAGTCTTTTCCCCTGATGAGCTGTAACAGGAAGCCTCAGACTAGCAGCTGCGAGAATCTAGGCTGGCATTTTATTGGTGAGACCCACCCAGGTAACCCTCTGCAGAGTACAAACCTACAGCAGCGCTGCTGGGTCCAGGTGTGCAAACAATTACAATCTTTTAGAACATATACAGAGTGTTTTATCTGCTTCTAGTTGGGTACATGGGAACAGGGCAGAGGATGAAATAGTGTGTACATAATGTACACTATTATGTACACTATAATGTACACTATTACACAAAAACAAAGTGAGATCTGCAGAGGGGCAGGAAACATTAGTACAGCAAATATCAAGGATTACAGGATTTTGATGTGCCAATTATGAATTATTGCAAGGCTTGGCTGTGAGTTTACACATGTTAATGACAGTAATTGCAACACTGCCAAAAAACCAGACTGGCAGCTTTACTGCTGCTAGAAGAAGAATGGTCCCATTTAACTTTCCTCGAGAGCCACATTCTGCAGAGGATTAACTTTTTGCAAATAAATGCAGAGTCTGAGCTTCTTAAAGATCACCAATAACACTTCAGGGAAAGGGAGTCTGGCCTGGAATTCTGTTTCATTCTGGGCAAGAGGAGCAGGGACACTGCAGGTATGATTGTATATCACAAAGACACTTATAAGCAACCTTCTTCTATAAAGATGTATTTGGATTTTCCCAACAGCTGCATCACCTGACGTGGCAATGTGTAAATTCTGGGATGCAACTGCATCTTAGCTTGTGTACTGGCTAAGTTCCTGTTAAAACCTCCCACTCATCCAGGGTCTCTGTGTATTCTATATAGCCTTCAGCCATGGAAATCTAGATCTTGCAAATTTAACATATATAGGTTTCTAACTGGGAAAATAGAAATAAGCTTAAAATCTATTAGGCTGTAATATTTGGCTTCTACCTTCTCCACCTCAGCTGAAGTTTTAAAGTCAGGCATGAGAACCAAGGTTTAAAATTATTACAGTCTAACAGATTTTATTTGCATTAAAAACTTGAGCAATTATTACAGCTCATATTTTTTTATTTACACCCTTTAAATTCTGCAAATATTTCTGGTAGAAGAAACCACCATTCCAGAGACTTGAGAACTGGGTATACAGCTTGATAAACATGGAAAGGAGGGATTACGCATCTATTTTTACCAAGTACTATTATAATATTATTTCTATACTGCCCAATAGCTGAGGCTCTCTGGGAAGTATACAACAATTGAACTTACATCTTTCATTCTTTTTTCGACCCTTTTTCCATTTCTGTAGCAGAGGGTTTCTCAATGAAAATTCCTTCCATTGTCCACATCCTTAGATTATCTCTGTGGCTTCCAGTGCCTGGTATGAGATCAAAATGTGTTATTGATGAAAATAGAAGCTGATTGTTCCCACTGAAAAGTCACAGTTAGCTCTGCTTTTGTTAGTCAATTGATCACAGTTTGCACATCATGGCCAATAGTTGGGTTGTTTAACCTAGGAATTGGCTGGAGTGCATGGGTTAACTCCAGGTTGTTTGACCCCCCCCCCAAGAACCTAGATTTTTGGGGTTTGCATATCACAAAACAACGGGGTGCTCCTGGGTTGTTAATTGATAGTGGAAATAGGCAGGAACCAGCATACTTGCTCACTCATTTCACGTCAGAAGCAAGGCATGGTTAAAAAATTAAGGGCCCGCTTGGTCTTGCAGACTGATGACACCGTACGTCCAAGATTTGTGATAGCTACATGTGAAAGTTCACCCCTTAGAAGTTTGGCTGAGATGAAAAAACACTTCAAGGCGCTTCCAGCTCTTTTCCTTTTGCACCACACCTCTCTTGAGATTCTTCCTCTTCTCAGAGCTAATTTTTGACCGCTGCTTGGAGAGCTATAAACACAGCCGTGTCGGACCATGCCTGCAATACTGACAGAATGACTCCGTGCTATTCCTTCACCACCGCTATGGGCAGACAAGGGCCAGTCCCCGACCTGCCCGACAAAGTCACCTGTCGCACAGGTCCCTCGCCGCCGCCGCCGCCCGGCCGGGCTCCCGCGCCCTGAGGGGAGACGCTGCGCCCCCCGATGGCCAGTCCCAGAATCGCAGGCCCGCCTGCGCGCCGCTGAGCGGGGAGGCGGCGGCGAGTCTTTGCGCGGCAGCTTGCAAGCCCAGGAGAAGCGCCGCTTTCCCCCATATCGCACTTCGGACCGCCCTGGCGGGGGAGGCCCTTCCGGGAGGACGCTCCTCTTGCCCTCGTCCCAGTTCCGTGTGAGGCCCGGCAGAGGCCGCTACGGGCAGCAGCAGTTGTTCAGGACCGGGCCAGCGGATCGCCTGCCCAGCGTTGCACGAGCGCCCGGGTCCGGCCCGGCCGCAGGCTGGGAGAAGCCCCGCGCTCGCCGCTTGGCCAGCCGGTGTGAGCGCGCTCCTTTGCACACAGTGCCGCCCCCTCCGCGGATCGGGTCCCGTCTGCCAAGGACAAGGTAAGAGGAGCCCACCTGCAGCATCCGGGGAGGACTCACCTGGAAGGCCGCTCGGCGCTCTTTCCCCTGGTGGAGGAGCACTTTTGAATAGGAGCAGGCATTAAGTACAGTACATTTATTCTCCTGCTGTTATCTTGTTTGAAAATCCATCTTTCAAAAAATTGGGGGTGGTGTCCATGGTTCCCTGCATTTGTCATTATACCCCTCAAGCTGGTGTCTTCCCAATGTGTTGTACCACAACCCCCATCACCCCCAATCATCAGATTCCCTGGACATGGCTGGGAATGATGGGGGTTGTGCTTTAACACATCTGGAGGACACAGGTTGGAGAATCAAAGAACAGTGGAGCTGGAAGGGGTGTATAAGGCCATCCAATCCAAGTCCTTGCTCAATGCAGGATCGCAGGTTAGAGAATCCCTGAGAGATGGCTGCCAAACTGCCTTTTGGATGCCTTTAGTGTGGGGCTGCCCACTGCTTCCCTATTTAACTGGTTCCATCAATGCTCTGTTCTAACCGTCAGGAAGTTTTTCCTGATGTCCAGTCAGAATCTGGCTTCCTGCAACTTAAGTCCATTATTCCATGTCCCGCACTCTGGGATGATGGAGAAAAGACCCTGGCCCTCCTTGGAAAGTACTTGGAAAATGCTATCAAATCTCCCCCCCCCCCCCAGTTTTCTCTTCTCAGGGCTATGCACGCCCAGTTCTTTCAGTCCCTCCTCAGAGGGCAGTTTCCAGCCTCTGATCGTTTTCGTTGCCCTCCTCTGAACCTTCCCCAGTTGGTCTTCATCTTAAACTGTGGAGCTCAGAACTGGCCACAGTACATGAGATGGAGCCGAAGGGAGGGGAGCCAGTGCTCCTGTGATTTGGAAGCGATACAGCCCAGCGAAGGCTGACGTAGACCAAGGGAGGGCAACGGGCACGTTGCCATCCACTGGGCTTTGCGGTTGTGCGTGGTTGTGCGTGGAAGTCTCCCTGGTCTGCACATCAGCCCTGCTGACTTTCCTCTAGATGTCATTCTCGCTGTGTAAGAAGCTGGCCTGTGGTGTGCGTTGGAGCACAGGGATGGACTGGAAGGAGTGAGGGGATTGGAAGTTGTGCCTTGTCCCTCCCTTCGGTCTGCCTCCATTGGTCACCATGCCCGTATCCAAAATGCCGTTCCAAGCAGGAAAGGTTACTCCTTGGATGGACAGGTGGGATTCTTTGTGGAGCTTCCGTGGAGCTCCCACATGCTCATACGTCTTTCCTCTGCTGCACCCCAAAGTGATGACCATGTTCCACGTCATCTTCCTACTGCTGCTGACTGGGCTGAGCTGGGGAAGGACTTCCCTTTCCGAGATCCCACTTTACCTTGGGAGGAATGGTTGGGTGACCTGGTGAACAGACTGACGGTGGACGAGATGGTGCTCCAGGTACAAAGAAGACCCTTGGACAGAGGTGTTGGGAATGAGCAGCCCTCCCGGGCCTGGCCGAGAGCATCGAAGCGCCCCGCAAAGAGCACAGGGAGGTTGGAACAAAGAACTGCCTGGTCCAGAATCTTAGTTTCCATCAGGGACAGCCAGTTCTTTCTGGGAAGCCTGCAGCCAGGACCTGGTGGTAACTGTCTGTCCCTGCTGTGGTTTGCCAGCAACTGGTATGCAGTGGTAGGCGGCCAATGAACATGCAGGTTCTCTCTAGTTCTCATCATGACTAGTGACTTGCATGAAATTGCCTAAAACTTCTAGGACGTCTTCTTTCCCAGTGGGCATTCTCTCTCCTTGCAGCGGGTCCTCTCAGTCTCTCAAAAGCTACACATCAGCACGTGGAAAAGTAATATATATGGGAAGTGGGCCGGCTGGAATCTTCCCTGGGGCTCCTTCAGCTGATGCCTTGAAGTACAGAGCTGGCCCATTGTACAGACACACTCAGTATTCAAGATTCCACCCCAGCTTTATTTGTTAATTAATTTAATACATTTATTAAAGTGTTCATATACCATCCGACTACTGTTCCGGGATGGATGGAGGATGCTGGAAGCTGTAATCCAACGTATCTCAAGGACACCAGTTTGGGGAATGCTAAGGTAGGTACATTCAGACAAAC